TCATGTGCAACCTGCAAAGGGCGGGCAGGAAAGTTCAGAACATGATGGTGGTGCGTGTTCACGGCGGCACCACCACCAAGACCATCCGGGAGAAGGTGAGGCAGGCCGTGGAGCTGGCGCGCGACAACGAGGAAGAGCACGACATGGACACGGTGCTCTTCTTCGACGAAGCCAACACCTCGGAGGCCATCTTCGCCATCAAAGAGGTGCTGTGCGACCACAGCGTCGACGGAAGGCGAATTGCCACTGACCGCTTAAAAGTGGTGGCCGCTTGCAACCCTTACAAAAGACACACCAAGGAGACCATTGAGAAACTGGAGAAAGCTGGTTTGGGATACCGAGTCCGGAGCGAAGACACTCCCGAGAAGCTGGGTTACATTCCTTTGCGGCAGTTGGTGTATCGGGTGCAGCCCCTTCCTCCCAGTTTATTGCCTCTGGTCTGGGATTTTGGGGAGCTGAACGAGAAGACGCAAAGCCTGTACATCAGGGAGATCGTGAAGTCCACCGTGGAGACGAAGATCCCCGTGGAAAACCTGGACGTCTTCACCGATGTCATTTCGGCCTCCCAGAAGTTCCTGAGAGAGAGGAAGGACGAATGCAGAGTCGCCAGCCTCCGGGATATAGACCGCTGCATGAAAATAGTGCTCTGGTTTTATGACTTAAGGGACCTGCTTTTCCACCAGATCGATACGAAGAGGCAGTGTGAGGAGGAAAAGGAGCCGGCCTTAAACGACGCGCAAAGGGCTTTGGTCCTTTCGGTAGGGGTCTGCTACTACGTGTCTCTGGAGAGCCGCCAGGAGTACCTGGAGGAGATTGCAAAATGCTTCTCGGTCCCCGCGTCTGTGCTGCAGCGAGAGATCGAGTTGTGCCAACAGGTATTTCTTGATAACGTCTCCGTTCCTAAGGCGACAGCCTGCAACAACGCTCTGAGGGAGAACATCTTCATGATGGTTGTCTGCATGGACCTCCGCGTGCCGCTCTTTCTGGTCGGGAAGCCGGGAAGCTCCAAATCTCTCTCTAAAACCATTGCCGTAGATGCCATGGAAGGCACGTTGTCCAGAAGTCCCTTGTTCAAAAGATGCAAAGAGGTCCAGCTGGTGTCCTTCCAGTGCAGCCCCCATTCAAAACCAGAAGGCATCATCTCCACTTTCCGACAATGCGCTCAGTTCCAGAAAGGCAAGAACCTGAATGAGTTTGCGTCCGTAGTCCTGCTGGACGAGATTGGTCTCGCAGAAGACTCGCCCGATATGCCGTTGAAGACGCTGCATCCTCTTCTGGAAGACGGATGCGTTGATGACGAGAATCCGGAGGCTTACAAGAAGGTTGGCTTTGTGGGCATCTCCAATTGGGCCTTGGACCCTGCCAAAATGAACAGGGGCCTCCTCGTCTTTCGGACTGAGCCTAGCAAGGAAGAGCTGGTCAAGACTGCCAAAGGCATCTGTGCTGACCAACCTCACCTTGAAAGAATCGAGCATTTGTTCCCCATTCTGGCAAACTTCTACTACAACGTGCTGAAAACGCAGAAAACGGAGTTCTTTGGGCTTCGGGACTTCTACAGCTTAATCAAAATGGTTGCGTCCTACATGCAGAACACGAAGCACGGTTCTCAAGAGGAGCTCCTCGTAAAGGCCATCCAGAGAAACTTTGGAGGCTCCCGAGATATCTATCCTCTGGAAATCTTCCGTAACTGCACCAGCGAGGTACGTCTTACCTATGCCACGGAAACCAGCTGCATCCGTCTGCTGGAGGAAAACATGGAGAAACAGCAAGCGGGATTCATGTCGCGTTACCTCCTGTTGATAACGACCAACAACGCCGCCTTTCAGATCATCCAGATGACGGGGCTTATCGACACCGGCAACTGCGACATTATATTTGGCTCCGGCTTCCCACGGGACCAGGATTATTCCCAGGTGTGCCGCTCCGTGAACAGGGTGAAAATTTGCATGGAGATAGGCAGGCCCGTTGTCCTCCTCAACATACAGAACCTTTATGAGAGCCTTTACGATACACTCAATCAATGCTTCGTCAGCCTGGGCGGCAATTACTACGTCGACCTGGGCCTCGGCACGCATAGGGTGAAGAGCCGCGTGAAGGAGGAATTCCGGCTGATCGTTATAGAGGAGAAGAAAGTGGTCTACACGCAGTTCCCCACCCCTCTGCTGAGCCGTCTGGAGAAACATTGCTTGGACATGAACACCATCCTCAACTGGCAACAGCGAGACCTGAAGCAGGACCTGGAGAGATGGGCCGGTCAGTTTGTCCGTATCGAGAACGTGGATTCGTCCGTGCTCTGGTCCCACAAGCTTGCTCCTAAGGAACATGACGTGTTCGTCGGCTTCAGCGACGACACGTCCGCCACCATCGCGCTGGAGAGCTCCCAGCAAACCCGCTGCGGTGGGTACGGTCGCTACGGGGAGCAGATCTTCTCCGCTGCCGTAAGCAAACTGGTGGAGTGTGCCACTCCTGACTCCATCCTACGCCTTAAATACTGTCATCTGGAGGACGCCGAGCGGATCCAAGACCTGTATTTCATCGAGCAGAGGCACAACAGCCTGGCTGGCCTCTTGCGCGAGATGATGGACCGACACGAGAAGAAAAGGAGCGCCGCCGGGCTGTGCCTGCAGGTACTCGCGCTTGGCTGCGGAGCACCCAAGGGTGCTGTTTGTTTTCCTAGGGAGCGTGGTGGCTCCGTCATCTTGGTTAGACCAGGACAAGGACGGGCTGACGTCCACCCTCTTTGCCTCCGTGGTCATCTGCAGCCGGGGTAGACCCTGCCCTTCCTCGGGAGACAGACGGGATCTGCTCAGCTCTGGCTTGGGCCGAGATGCTCAAGGCGCCTTCCAGTTGCCTGTAGATGAGCGCCAAGCACTGATGGAGACGTCCTGGAGGATCCCACCCGTTGGAGGCAGCAGGACAACCAGTTTCGATTTTCCCTTTTTTACCGCAGGTTTCTACCCATGCCAGGCTGCTAAACCAGAAGGATTTAGAAGCGCTGAGGAAGACGCTCAAGCTCCCCGGTACAATCCACTGCCTGTTCCTAAGCCAGTTTGACACTGAACATGCTTTCCGCCAGGACCTCAGGTGGGCTCTGCTATTTCTTTTTTTTAACCTTACAGGTGATTTCCACCTCTCGCAGTGCTTCGGGGTGAGACCTTTCTGGGAGAAAGCGTTAAAGAGGCTGTTTTGTTGCAGGAGTTTCTTCAGAGAGCCGCAAGAAGTGAGACTGCTCCTCGTTCAGTTTCATTTCGATGAGCCGCAGAGCAGCAAAAGACTCCTGGCGTGTGCCAAGTAAGCAGCTTGCCTTTGTCCTCCTCCTCCGTCCTCCCTCCTCCTCCTCCGTCCTCCCTCCTCCTCCTCCGTCCTCCCTCCTCCCTTCTTCCAGGCACAACATACTTCTCTGAAACCTGTGCTGCCTTTTGGCCTTTTTTCCCCCCCCCCCCCCCAAGACTTGAACTGGGCTCTGCTCTGGACTCGATTGTCTCATTTGCAGCTGCAGTTGTAGCAGATCGTACCAACAACGGCTAGAAAGAATGTTTTCTTGGGGTGGCATCTGCCCAAGAAAGCAGTTTCAGATGACTGCAGCCGTTGGTAGAGAGGGAGATTAACCTCCGGAAGGGCTCACGGAGGGAGAAAGAGCAGTTGTTGCTTGGAGAGATAGGTCAAACGAGTGGAATTAACCAGCTCTGACTTTCTGGTGGCGTTTCCAGGTACTGCATCACAGACGAGCGGAGGAGATCAGCCAGCCCCCATCTGTTGCACGTCGTGCTGATTACTAAAGTCCCGCGGGTCCTGGGAGGGTGCAGCTACCTGGCTTTTGACAGCGGTAAGCTTACGCTCGCTATTTTGGGTTGGGAAAAGAGCGGGAGGGGAAGATGAAGATGTGCAGCAAAAACATGCGAAGTGGTGGATCTCCCACCTCTTGCCATCTTCCTGCCCGGGTTGGCTGGTAAATCCGAGCAGCCGAGCTCACCGGTTTTCCAAACGGCTGACGCGCCAAAAGAGAGCGGGTGGACTCACCCGTCCTCTTGCCTTTCCAGGCGAGTGGAAGTCCATCCACTTGGATGACCTGATGCCCCCAGACAACTTTAAGGCCAATCTCGGCCATCTCTCCAAAATGACCATTGCCGAGATTTTCCTGAGCAGCTCCCTGCAGCCGCGTCTCCCAGCAGGTAAGAACTCTCTCGCCGTAAACCCACCATCTCCCTACTGCTCTCCCTTCCAGAAACCCGCTGCCCCATCCTCCAATGTCCCACAAGTCAACTCTGGGTGGCTTCCTGAATCCACGTTCTTGGTTAGAGGTGTCCGGCCAATTGCTCCCCAAGCCCGAGGGTCTCGTGTCAGCAAGAAGCTGACACTGAGCAGTTGGGTAGTTTCCACCCCGGGCTGCTTTATTTCTCCCTGTTGATTGTCAAGGCACTCCTGACGCCTCCCGTGGATGGAATTCTCTCTTGTTGGGGTTTTAACAGCTGAGTTGTGTGGTTGATTGTGATTTCAGGTTCTCCGGAAGATTCCGCTGCCCTGGGGAGCCTCACCATGTCAGGTCTTTACCCGGAGGAAAATGTATGATTTTCCTTTTTTTTTCTTTTTTTTCTCCTCATTTTAGTCGCTTGTCATTGTGCAAGAACTGGCTTTGGGTATCAACAGACATTTTGGGATCTGCTTTCGAAGTCTGTGCTTGGGCTGGTACCTTGACACAGGAAAAAATTAGCTGCAGGTCTTCCTGGGTTGCACGTTGTGAAGTTGAAGTAGGGTGGTGGTCTCCCAGCCCCAATGTGAGCAACTGGCGAAAGACCGGGAGCCTTTTGTCACCATCAACAAAGCCGTGTCCCTTACCGGGGGACATCAGCAGCGCTCTGTGCCCTGAGGACTGGGTTAACCAGGGTTTGTTGGGATGGTGAGATGGGTACGGACCTTGGAGTTCACTGTGCTGAGTTCTGGAGAAGATGATATCCCGGGACAAGCATCCCCAGGCGAATGAGAGCAAAGTAATGCCAAGCATGCAACTCACCTCCAGTCTTTTCCAGCCGCAGTTCCTCGACGTGGACGCAATGATCAAAGGGAGCATCCAGAAGGCCGTGATCCAGCTGGAGGACAAGAAGGACAACAGCTGGCGTGCAACGGAGAGAATCAAGATCCTTCACAACTTGCTTTTCCACAGTCAGAGTAGCGGTACGTATGAGTAGAGAGAACTAGAAGTGGCTCCTTCTTGCGCGTTGCAAGACGTGTCGCTGGAAGAAGACAACCTGAGAGGTTAAGAGCCCAGTTCTGGTGTCCTTCAAAGCCATCGTGGGTGGAGACGCACCTAGGAGACGGAGGGTGAGGTTGCATGGGACCTCCTTCACCTCCCTCACGTACGTGATCGGAATCTGTACTAAACCCCAAAGCTTTGCTGCAGACCTTGGTAGATGATCCCAGACAGATGTTACTTCCCAGTGGAAGCTGATTTCTGCGTAGGACTGATAAAAAAATTATTAGGTGGTGTGATTTTTTTTTTGAGTGGAAAACTAGCAACCAAAATCCAGTGTAGGTTTTTGATGGCATCTCCTACTTGGAGATGAGCGCTGGGAGGGTTTTAACCAGCGGCGTTTTGTGATTAGTTTCCAGCCACTTTATGACCATCCTGAAGAAGAGAATTTGTTACCTCCTACAAGAACGAGAGAAACCGATCCACGAGCCAAGGGGGTGGATTTTCCGCCGGGCTCTTTCTACCAGCTTCATCCTGGAAGACACATCGTTCAGGTAGTGCTGGCTGTGGGCTGCCTTCCTAATGTCAAGTAGTTCTGTTCCTAAAATGGCTCCGCGTGAAGCGCGAGGCACTTTGCTTAAACGCCAGGACATGACAACCAAGAAGCGTCTAAATACGTGGGGGTTTTACCAGCCTAGAACAAGGTAGGGTCTTGCAGAAAGGCCGTAGTCAGTCTCAAAAGCAAAAAATTAATTAAGAGCACCGTCAATTTTGAGGAAGCTTCTTTTGGAAGGGCTTTTCTGGAAGCAAAACAACATTGGTTGACTGTGAGATAGGTGAGGACGGTTAGTCTCAAGCCTGGACGTCCATGTTTGGCATCTTCAGAAGCAGTTGGGTGGTTTTGGTTGACCGGTGGGTCTTCAAGGCCGATGCTGTCCCCTGGGCAGAGGAGGGTTTCTTGGTGGGAGGCAGGGAAGCGATGCGATGAGCCGCGTCACCTCCTTTTTCAGGAAAGCGCTCTGGATGTACCTGGAAGACATCGTGGCGAACGTCTTTGCCCAAATTCTCGCCGTGGTGGATGCCAACAACAACCTGGATCACATCTTTCAAGGCGCTCCGCTCGCGGAACTGTGGCTGCAGATGTTCCAAGAAGAAACAGTCCTAAAAATTAAATACACCAGCAAGTAAGAGATAGGGTGTAAATGTACAGGGAGGTGGTTTTCCTTAGGAAAGTAAAAGGTGGTGTTAGTAGTGAAAGAGTAGCTCGTGCTTGAGGTGCAGATGTTTATAACCTCGCCACGGAAGGTCTTGGATGTCAAGCCGCTGGCACCAAAACTTCCCTGTTGTTTTAAGCTGTCAGCAAAATTGGATCCTTCCTTGCTCTTGCCCAGTTTTCCCTGATTTTCCTACCAGATTTCTCTCCGGGTTTCTGAACTTTAAAGAGAACACGTGTCGGTGGGAGTTGGGAACTTCTCTGAGGTGGTCTGCCTCTGGACGGCTACGGTCTGTTGCACAATTTAATGCTTCTCTCTGCGCTGTTTGAATTCAAGGCCGGCAGATGCGAAGATTTCCGTGTTGTCCATGACGGAAGACCCCAACACCTCCCTCTTCTGCCGGTTCCCGTTCAGTTGGGTTTTGAAAGCCTACCTGGACGACATATGGGAGAAGGTCTATCATATGAAAGGTAACATCAGACTTTCCGGGGGGAGCTTTAACCCAACGAAGCTGCCAAAAATCTGCGTCCGTAGTAGGAGGAACCGTGGGGGCCGTGTTCCTCACTGAAATGGCCCAGAACTGTGTTGTGTGTCTCTTCTGCATTATACATATGTTGATGTATAGGTATCTTTCCGAGGTATCTTTCCGATACATGTTACGTCATTTTGATGTATATTGTATCATTCCGAGGTATCTTTCCGATACATGTTACGTCATTTTGATGTATATTGTATCATTCCGAGGTATCTTTCCGATACATGTTACGTCATTTTGATGTATATTGTATCATTCCGAGGTATCTTTCTGATAGATGTTACGTCATTTTGATGTATATTGTATCATTCCGAGGTATCTTTCTGATAGATGTTACGTCATTTTGATGTATATTGTATCATTCCGAGGTATCTTTCTGATAGATGTTACGTCATTTTGATGTATATTGTATCATTCCGAGGTATCTTTCTGATAGATGTTATGTCATTTTGATGTATATTGTATCATTCCGAGGTATCTTTCCGATACATGTTACGTCATTTTGATGTATATTGTATCATTCCGAGGTATCTTTCCGATAGATGTTACGTCATTCCAATGGAGGCGTTCTGCCTCTTCACCCGTGGCCTTGCACTTGGCCATGCGACCACCCAGGTCTTAACGAGAAACTCCCATTTTCTGCTAAGCAGCCCTAACCCTCTTGGCTGTCCCTTCCAGATAAGCCCAAGAAGCCAACGAAGGAAGTGGTCAGGTTCTACCAAGCCTTCATCAAGAACGTCTTGATGCCAGATGGCAGCAATCTAGACGTGCTACGCTGCTACATCGACGACTTTCTCAGGATGGCTTTTCCTCGACAAGATCCCTCTGTCTACGAGGTGAGGAGGGTTCGGTAGAGCACCGTCTTCAACTGGCGTTGGCTTTGGCCCTAGTCCCATCCTTCCGGGCCAAATCTGATGTTTCGATAAACCGTCCCTTGTGCTACTCCTCAACTGTTGCGAACATTCAGTCTTAATTCCACCTCGAGGACTATTTTTGACGAGGAAAATTCATACAGGATACGGCAGCAACGCCGAGCATCCCGCCTTTGGTCCCCTTATTGAGTGGAAATAACGCCTTTTATTTTACCTGCAGATTCTCTCAAAAGTTTTCCTCGCCAACGCAACACAACTCTGCTTCTCCGTGGGCGGGGGGGAGATGGGCTTTTCCCCCGTTTGGCTTCACGTAGAATATTTCTACCTCCGAGATGATTATCAGCTCTTCGTTGACATAGCAAAAAGCAACGACGCCGTCGTAGGCGAGTTGCAGGCGATGTATGAGAAGACGCCCCCAGAAATGGTGAGGAAAGAGCTGCGTTTGCCCTCTAACCCTTCTTCTACGGCTCTTGAACACGGTGGTCTTCACAACTCCCATCATTTAATTACGTACTGTGTAATTAGTAAGAAGTCCTTGTGTTTGCGTCAGTCTGGGTATCCCACTGAAGTCCCCTTAGACACTTTGACCCTCAAGGTGGGTGGGATTTGTTGTGTTGTCTTCAGTGGTGGGCTCCAGCTCCTTAGCTTGCCCCATCCGTGTGGAGATGTCCGCGTCCCTCTGAAGACACTTATTGCTTCGAGCAGCAAGCTAAGGTTTTTCGAGAACTCCCCATGGTGATTCCAAGATCCTTCTTTCTCCAGGGCGCCGTTAGGCTCATTAAAGCCCTTCCTGGTTTACGGGTGCCACAACTTCAGCCGTAGAAGTCCATTTCTTTCGAACGTAGCCCTGAAAACTACTCCAAAAGCTATACCAACATCTAGTCGCGCAGTGTCCCTTCCCTCTGTGCCACCCACCAGCGAGGTCCATTCTTTACCTTGACTCTTTTTCTCTCTCTCCACAAATGTCATTTCAGTTTGTCACTCTCGATGCTTTGAACATTCTCCTGAAGAAAGTGCAGCCCTCCGAAAATGGGCTTTTGCCCTTTGACGCCTGCATAGCGTGGCTTGAAAGCGTCAAGTCCATCAAGCCCTGGGTGGAGTGGATCAGTCTGGACAACTACCAGCTTCAGTTCTACCAGAAGAAGAAGGAACTCCTAGACAGTGTGTTGTAAGTTCAGTCGCTCTGTTGACAGTAGCACAAGCGAACTTCTTGACATCTGTAGGTCAGGTGAACTGAAGCCGCCCTCCTCTTGGGGAGTCACAAATCCTCCAACTGTCCACTCCTTCCTGGTCCTTCCTCGTTATCACAAACATGGTGGCGAAGCGGCTCCAAAAAAAGAGTGGTGGGATGTTTCACCCTCATCAAATTGCTTAGTTCTGGTGGAATTTCTCCTTGCATGCTTGACGGCGCCAGAATGTTTTCTGGAGCGGGACAAGCCGGTCTCTCCAGAGACGACACCCAGAAATGGGCTGGCATTTTCAGTTTCGCCCAAGGTTCGCTGAAATAAGCAGCGTAGGCAGGACCATGCCGTATCTTTCTCCCTCTAACGCAATCTCAGGAGGTCTTGTGTCCTGGAGCGACCACACACGACCCGGGATGAGTCACAGATCGGCATCCTTTGGGGGGGTGTGTGTGTTTTACAGACATCGCTGGACCTGCACCAACATCGTCTACATGTTGATTGACCACCTGCTGCACAACGAGACACAAATAGAGGAGAAACTCCTGAGGCTGGTGGTGAAGCAGTTCATCTTCCTCTGGAATGTAGGTGTTTCCTGGTGCAGCTCCTGGCTGTGAAGCTTGGGAGGGCTCTTCTTTTCCAGGAGGTGTTTGATCCCAGCCGTAGGGAGGACTTATGGGTGGGAGAGGGCTGGAAACAACATCCAAGGGACAAACGCTGCTTGGATTCAGAATCCAAAATGAGGATTCGGAATCAAGGAAGGCTTCTTTCAGAATTTAAAGGGTTGATCCCGGTCACTTACCCTCAGTGGTCTGGGCAGAGACATCCATACTTGGATCTGCTTAATTCTGCCGTCTAACCCTGTGTCCCTGCAGCGCTGACATCCCATAATGTTTGTCGTCCGCGTACCAGAGAGGCGTCTCTGCTGAACTTGCGCCGTGCGTTTGTCTTTTTTGCAGCGCCTCTACGCGAGCCAGCGATTTGAGCCGGAGAAGACTTTTGATTTGGTGACAAAAGTGCTGAAGAAATGCAACGAGAACGCTGATGTTGTGTATCTGGTGTAAGTCCGAGCTGAAAAAGTTGACTTTGGGGTCCTTCTCCATCAACGCCGTGTTTATAAAGGGTGGGGGAAATACGTCAGCGCTAGGGGTGGACCATGTTGGGCCGAAGGGAGGCCACGCTGCTGAAGCCGAGGGGCGAGAACCCGTCTTGGAGGTGACGAATCATCTCTGGAGGAACTTCTCGGAGGTGTGCTGGCAAAGAAACCAGCTCCCCTGAGCACCCAGGCTCTCCGTCCCCTTCACCCAGCCGTCCTCACCACGGACCCGTTGCCTCTCCAAGACGGGATGGTCCTCGGGCGGCTTAGAAGCTGCTGGTTCGTGAAGCGGTGGTGGGGTCACCCTGGTTCTCTACTTCTCTACTCTTTAGGCTAGGCCAAAGCGCCCGTCCAGCTTCATCCCCACCCCAGGGTGGACGTTAGGCAGGAGCCAGCCCGCAGTCTTCCTCAAATCTGGCAGCAGTGCTGAACTGCTTCTTTTTTTCATCATATCTCTCAGGAAAGGTGTGAAGGAATGCAAGAGCTGCCTGCGGGAGATCACAGACCCGGCCGAGCTGCCCTGCAGCCACATCTTCTGCGCTCGCTGCATCCTGGAGTGGACAAACAAGCAGTGTAAGATCTGCAAGGAGGAATTCCCGGAGGATTACACACCCACGGCTTCGGAGGCCACAAGGTATCCTGGCGCTGGCAAAAACCTGCCTGTATCCAGTGTCTTCGTGTTAAATATTGGGACGGAAGATGCTGGTGCCTGAACAAACGGCCATTTTGTCTCCCTGGTTTCGGTCCTGGGCTCAGCAGAGAGAGGGACGTTGTTTCTTTTCCTTGGTTGGAGGTTGACCACGAGTCTTGGTTTTCTTCTTCCCTCCAGGGAAGCTGTCGCCTGTCACAACAAATTCAGGAGGAAATGCAATTCCTTCTTCATTGAGTTCATTGCTGTGTACTTTTTGGGAGACAGAGAGGCACCGTCTGCCAAAATCATTCAGCGACTGATACAGTTTGTGGCTTGCAAACCCAGCCCCGAGCATCAGGCGGGGAAAAGGGGTAAAAGAGCTTGATTCCGCTCAACCCGGCTCTGACCATGCGCTCTTGGAAGTCAAATAACGGATGTCGCTCTTCCTTCCTAGTGTACAAGCCGAAAAGCGAGCTGTCGCCCTTCGAAGAGTGCATGGACACGAGTCCTACCGTCCAGTCCTCCCTCCTGAAGCTGCTGCTGCGATGCGGGTCAGCCCCGAGGTTGTTCCCAAAACCCCTCGCTGCCGAACCCCTCGGCTACGTGGATGCTGATGCTCTGTGTCCTTTTCTGCCATAGGTTCAACAACGTCAAGGTTCACTTGGAAGAATACCTGTCCCAGATGGAGGAGAAGATAATATCCAACCAAAGTAACATGGACCACTTCTACTTCATGGTGGTGCACTGTCTGGAGGTAAGTGCCTGTTGGGATGTGCTGAGAATCCCAACGAACACTGTAACTTGGAGCCACCACCCCAGCTAAAACCTATGAATCACATTAATTACCCCCTCTCCACATATTTTTATGGATGAGGAACCAAAGGAGGAGCTCACCTTAAAGATGAGGAGAAGGCACAAGGAAGGAGGAGGAGCTGCTCAGTTATAACACACCTTCAGGCTCTTAAAAATTGTCTCTCTCTTGAGCAGGATTTTATGTATCCATCTTCTGAAGAAGACGTCAGCCAGCTTGCTGAAAACTGCCTCTCCACCGCAGACCTATCTGCTTTCTGTGAGCCCGACATCTCAAGAATTAACACCCTCCAGTTCATCGCGCAGCTCCGGCTCTCCATCAGCCACGTGGCCACTGTGCTTGCCAGACAGATGCTTTCCGGTGAGTTCTTTCGCTTCGCGTAGCATGAGAAGTGTGCCTACCCCTAAAAAGGTCTAGAACAAGCCCCCAGAAAGGTCTAGCCTTGGAGATTTTTGCTGGAAAATGACTGTTTTTATGAAAATCAAAGTTGTTTTGAACGAACTTCCCAGCTCTTCAGTCGCCAGACTTGCTGTGTTCTCCCAAGTATTTCCCGATGTATTAAGGGGCCCTCTGTACGTTGGCTTGAAGCCATGCTTCAACCTGTGGGGAGAAGATCCTGCTGCACCGTAGATCCTACCACAGCCTAAAGAGCTGTAGGGGCTGCGTTGGTGAAGGACGTGCCACCGCTGGGGACTGGGTGTAACGAGAAACCTGCTTTCCAGCTGCAGATCCCAACGCGCCCGCTGCCGAGGGGAATGAGAAAGAGCAAGACCTGGTGAACGCGATGAAGCGGCTGGTTGCGAAGGCTCCGACTCCGTGGCCTCAGGTGTTCCTCATCAGGAATCTCTGTGACATCTGTGGGCTCGCCTCCATGTGGAAGATCCTCCAGGTGGAGAAGTGGATTTTACCCCAAGGGGTAGAAATTTCGCAGGTGGGTTATTTCTGAAGAGCCTTGCGCCGAAGCACAGCTGAGGGGGTGGGATTTGCCGAGCTCGAGCCCTGTAAAATGGACTCGTGGGGCTCCCTTCCAGCTGAGGAGAACGACAGGCCCTCGTAGGGTGCAATCAACTTCCTCTTCTTCCACTTGCTTCTTGGGATAACAATGAGCATCGGTATTTTTCAGGACAGAAGCACCTGGTCAAATACAGCACAGATGTTTTTGGTGCTGGACAAAGCCCAAAACCAGCTAAAAAGCAAAGATTCCACAGAAAACCAGAGCTTGACTGTGAGTATTGGTTGTATCTCCAACAGGAGGCTTCCGCGGGTTTCGGTCTGGAACCACTGTTGGTTGGTCTGGAACCTCTTGAAAACAGGAGGTTTCCATCTGTGTTGATGGAGAGCTGTGGCAGCTCCCTGCTGCCAGGGGACACAAACGGGACTTTGCGTGGATGCTGAAACTCAGCGGAGAAGCCAGAAGAATTTGCTTATGTCTTGTTTTGTTCGACTTTTGTAGTCTGTCCTGCGACAAATGGAGAACATCCTCCGGTTGCCGTCCGTCCCGGATGAGCTGCTGGAAGACAAACTGAGGAAGATCATGGAAGCGTTGGGTGACAGCGAAGACCCAGGCCTGCTGGAGCTGGTCTTCCACGTTGCGCTCGTTCTGGTCTTGTTCCCAAGCCGCATCACTCACCTCTTCAGGAACATCTGCTTCAAGCCTGACATGGTGAAGGTGAGTCACAAGGCTGAGGTGCACAGCGCTCTCCAACCCACTGTCCTGGTGCAATATTTCCCGGCAGAAGGGCTTTGTTTTGGTCAGCTTGTTGTCCTGTAGATCGTTTTTCTCTCTTCCTTCTTCCTTGCGCTGAGAAGTAACTGCGACCATCCATCCTCGTCTCCGCTTCAAATGCGGATGAGATGGATGGTTTACGGGAGATGCCCGTCTCTCTGCTGACTCAAGGGCTGCTGGGGGCCTGGCGGAGCTTCGTTAGTGGGGATTAGGTGGTTTGAAGCCCAACCCGAGCGTCCTCTTTCTGCCAAAGGTCTTCCATCGCTCAGATGATGGTGGAAACACTTGTTCCTGAGCTGGGCTTCCCCTTGGGTCTGTCTGTTCATGAGGGTCTCTCCGTGCACGAGTTGTTCCTGTTACTTGAGGGCTGCAGGAAGCAACCAGGACATGGTGCTGCTTTTCCTGGAAGCAAAGTTTTCTTGGAGGTTCAGTGGAACCTCTGGATCCTCCCCCTTCCCACTGAGGCCGTGTTTGGCCTCAGGAATCAAAACTTGTAAATAATTGGGGACTTCGCTCACGTCTGGTCATTTCAGCCTCACGTCTCCCTGTCTGATGGACCTCGCTCCCTCGCTTGGTCCCCGTTCCCTCTCCAGAAGTTTCTCCCTGATGACAGCGGCCGTGCGGGAGGACTTTTCCTCCCCGCTCCTTGCTTGAGAAGCAGAACCGCTCCTCAGATCGGTGGCAAGCGAGCTAGGACGATGGTTACCCCACGCCTCGTTTTTCTATTGCCTTTCCTTTCCAAGGGCTCCTACCTTCCCACCATGCCCGGAGACCTGCTTTTTGACGAGGGGAACTGGAAAATTGGTACATCGGAAAAGATTTGGAGTAAGTACCGGGGGAACCTCGCTGCTCCTGTGCGTGTAGGCGAACCATCAGCAACTGATTGGCTGGGGGGGACGGAGGGAAGGGATTAAAGACTCCTGAAGGCCATCTCTGTCCTTTCATTGAGTCCTTCACGATCTTCACCTGGGTGGAGCAACTTTTGGGTCCCTTTTTGACAAGCTCTGTGAGGGGCTGGATGTCGGGAAATGGGAGCCAGGCCTGTCGCCCTCTTGGAGAGCTTCTGGCCACGTTCCCATTGTGGAGGTCGTTGCGGGAGATGACTGATGGACCATATCCTCTTTTCACACGTAGCTTGTCAGTGCGGCTCGTACTGGATCGTCACCCGCGTAAGTGTCTCCTCGTGGCTGACCGTCTTTGCGGCTCTGTCTCGCGCTTCTCTTGTCGCCTCCGTGGGGAAAAAGCCAGGCTCGGGATGAGCTTCTCGGCTCTTCTCCTGGCTCCCAGAGCTGCCCGTCCCATTTGCGCCATCTTGAAATGTGTCTCGGCCTCTTGCCTGGCTGTTTCTACCGGGTGGTCTCTACAAGACGCTCCTTCTGCCGCCCTGCTCCCCTCCGAACGTGGACTCCGGTGTCACCGCTCTGTCAAGCGGTCCTTTAGCTGCAAGAGCAGCTGCAAGGCTCAGAAGCCGGTTGGGTTGATCTCCAAGCCGGTTGGGTTGATCTCCCGGTGAGGTGCTAGGCTAAATGGAGCTGGGATTCGTGTCTCCCTGTGGGAGCAGTGGAGCGGAGTGGGTGCTTCCAGCTCTTCGTT